TTCCAGACCCCCCAGGCTGCGGAACGCCTAGTCATGACCTCACTGGGTTGCTTGGCCACGGATGTGTCGCGCCGCCCTCGTAGCGATTCCACGGGCGCTGTCGGGCTCCGCAATGCCGGCCGCCGAGAGCAGCTCGACCCGAAGCAAACGCTCGCGGGCCTCCGAAGGCTTGCGCATGAACGGGACCCCGAGGGCCTCCTAGGGCCAGCGTCCTACACTCCTGTTCACAGGTCCGAGGCGGTGGTTTTTAGCGTCGCCGATTTTGGAGCGTCGCGTTGCGTTGGGACATGCTGATGCTGACAGGCACGCTAAGCATGTTCTCATTTCACATTCTGGGGCCACCCAGAAGACCTTAGGGGCCCTAGATGTGCGTGTAAAGCAGGCTGCCAAACTGGTAAAGATGTATGATGCCGTGCTCTCCCACTACCCCGAGGCTGAGTTCCGACGCGTCCCGCGCGGCTCTCAGATCTTCGCCGTCAGAGATCCGAGCTGGCACGACTGGCGCGACATCGATCCGAGGGCGGCGTTGGGGTGCGCGCGTTGTTTTGTGATCTTCTTGAATCAGAATCGGCCAATGGTGGGTTGTCGAGGTATCCCCGCGGCTTTCAGTCATCTCAGGGATGCCGAAGAACGCTGACACTTTCTCGCGCGTGTTGTGCTAGATGACGCGGGCCAGGCCCCCAGAGTGGTTTGCAACGAATTCGGGGCCGACTCGCCCAAGAGGCGCTTTGCCGGGCTCGGATTGTTTAAGGAGACGTGGCAAGAGCGGCGCTCAGACCCTGCTCTGAATTAAGCCAGGCTTCCACCGCAGCGTCGTCGAGGAGCGCGCGTCGGAGCCTCGCAGACGGTCAGCCCAGGCCGTGATCGAGGCCGCGTCTGCGCACCGGACCAAAGTTTTGGCCCCCCCCTCGCGCGTCGCCACCGCGCCTGACGCGCAGGCATTGGCGGCTCGGACTCGCGAGAAGAAGGCGGCCGCGAAGGCTGCCGCCATTGGCCCCGCCTGAGGGAGGCATTGTTTTTCGTTCTGCCTCGGGCCGGCGAGGAATGCCCCCCCCCGCCCCCCCCCCCTCCTCTCGCGACGCTGCTCAGCTCTGCGTGCGCCTGCCCGCCCCGGTCGGGGAAGGAATGTTGGGGGCCCTCTCCCCGGCGGCGGCAGAGGCGGTTCCGCTGCGCCACCCGCCGGAATAGAACGGCATCGGGCGGGGCTTTCAGCGCGCGACTGTTTGCGACGCGCAGTAAGCGCTGAGTAGGGGGCTTCTCTGTAAGTATACTTAGGATATATGTAGATTGGGTGTGCGTTGAACATGTATTCGCACAGGTATAGACTACGTTTTGTCGTTTGGGGGAGAGCCGATCGAGCTTTTCGACGGTCGTTGAACATGTTCTGGTGAGTGCACTCGCACATCATTCATTGTTGGACATGCCGTTAGTGCTCCTCTCGCAATTGGCACGACGATCGATAATTTGTCATGCAGCTGGCAATCCGTAGGGTTAGCTTGCATCGACGGCTGGCCTCATCGAACCTCAACTTCGGATTCAAAAAGCTACAGCATGCGCATTGTAGAGTATAGGGCATAGGTTATGTCCAGACAGCGGCCCCCCAATGGCGTCGACAACGATGACGTGACGGCGGCGGCGGCGACGACAACGACACTGGCGACGTCGGCGACGGCGACGACGACGACGACGACGACGGCGATGATATCGATGAGGACGAGGACGAGGACGAGGACGACAGCGACGACGACGACGACGATGGCGACGACGACGGCGACGACGACGACGACGTCGCCAGTCGCCGCGGAGCGCCCCCCCAGAGGGATGCAATGCGAAAGTGTTATGCGGGGCGCGCCCGCGCGGCTGCAATCACTCGCCAGCGCAGTTTTGCCCTCCAAGGGTCGCGCCCCAGACTCGGCGCCGTCAGTTCCTCCGGGAATCCGTCCTCCAGGGAGGGGCGGCGGCCCATTCCCGGCGGCGGGGGGCCGTTGCGGAAGAAGCCCAAGGCCCCGCCCTTCCACTGCTGGAGCGACGCGACAAACCAGCCCAAGTGTTGATCGGCCTTTCACGGAACGGAACCGTTAAATCGGTCTGGGACGGAGGCGGTGAAAACCGTTATCGGGTTGCGCGCATGCCAGCGACGCGTTGACCGAAAACCAAGACATGTTTGATTCGTTTCCGGTACGGTCTGACCAAACTGGCACAACGGCTACGCGTTTTCACGTGCATTGGCTCAGCGGCAATCGATTTCAGAACGAGCCGGCGAGGCGTCGATTTGTCCCCGCGCGAACCAGAGACAAGTTGTTGCTGCTGCTGCTTTAGCGCTGGTAGGTTCGATTGTCCACGCGCGGGGCCAAAGTTCGGACGGTCGCCCGACGCTCGACGGGCGCCCCCGAGGGGGGCGCCTTGCCCCCGGCGGGCGTCTGAGCGGCTTTCGCCGGGGGGGAATCGCGGCAGGCCCGGGTGGCCGCGTTCTGCGTCGAAGGCGGGCGCGCCCGCCAGGGCGCGGGCGAGCTGTCGCGGAGACCTAGGCGGGCGGGCGCGGAGGATCCGGGGCGGGGGCGGGGAAGGGGGGGCACGCGCCAAGCGCGGCCTAAGCCCCCCCGCGCCAAAAAAAGCGCAGAGCAAATCTGCCGATTCTTTTTTGTTGCGCCGCCAGGGCGCAATCGCACCCCCGAGCGCGCCCGCCGCGCGTTTCAAGGGGCTGAATTGCTTAGTTGCCCACTTGTTTAATTGTGCCCCGCCCGCCAATGCTCCCGCGAGGCGACGCCGCGGCGCCGCGACATTGCTACGCGTTTGAGTAGGGTTGTCGCCCCCTCTGCTTTCGCCCCTGCGCGGCGTCGCCACGATGACGCGGCGTTGCGACGTCTTTGCGCGGTTGTCGTTTCCTTCGTTTTGCCCCCGCGACGCCGCGACGCCGCGGCCCGCGCTGATCTCATGCAAGTGGCACAGCAGCGGCAGCGCGCGCAACATTGTCGCGCGCCGCGCTCTAGAACGCCAGGGAGCCGCAACAGTTCGCTCGATCTGAATTCCGATCGGGCAATGGCGATCTGAATTTTCGATTCTATTAACAAATGTTGAATGCTAACTAATTTAACTGAATTCGTTGTGTTGGGATTATGTCCAACAGGGTTCGCAAAGGCATCGGTTTCGCAATCGCAGAAACAGCAACCTAGCATCATATACACCTGGAACTTCGGGTGCAGCGAGAAGCTCCTATAGCTAGCGACGTATCAGTATAGCGAAACGGCCATCCGTCCTTGTTGCCGCTGCAAGCGCCTGCGACGAATGCGCGCGGTTCTACGGCGAGAGCCCCATGTTTAAGGGGTCGCCGTCCGTCATTGCAACTGCCACGTGCGCTGAAAACGAATGCGCGCGGCGAAAAGGCGAGAACCACATGTCAACAACGGGTCGCATTCGACCCTGGCAGCTTGTGCAAGGACGAATGCGTGAGGCGCTAGATTGATAGCCCCATGTTGGACACGACGAGTGTGCATTTGCATTTGAAAGAGCGTGTTCTACCGCGCTGCTGGCGGAAAACCGGGGGGGGTCACTACCGGTTCGAACCCCTCCCCCCCCCCCCGGGGGGGGGGTCACTACCGGTTCGAACCCCCCCCCCCCCACCCAGCTCATCATGAAAAGGGGGGGGGTCACTGCCGGTTCAAACCCCCCCCCCCCCCCCCTCGAAAACCGAGTGGGGGTGCGGACAGTGGTGGGGACGGTGTTGGTGGGGACAGTGGTGAGGGGACAGCGGGACAGTGGTGGGGACAGCGGGGGGACAGTGGGACAGTGGTGGGGACGGTAGTGGTGGGGACAGTGGTGGGGACAATGGTGGGAACAGGGGGGACAGTGGACAGTGGTGGGAACGGTGGTGGTCGGGACAGTGGTGTGGGGACAGTGGGAATGAGGTGGAAACACTGGGACAGTGGAGGGTACAATGGTGGTGGAGACACTGGTAAAGGCGGTGGCGAGGACGGCGGTGGGACAATGGGACAGAGGTACAGTGGGGACAGTGGTGGGGACAGTGGGGACAGTGGTGGAAACAGTGGGACAGCTCAGTGGGACAGCGGAGGAGTCAGTGGGACAGTGGGGATGGGGATAGGCAGTGGTTGGGTCCGTGGAGACAGTGGGGAGAGTGGAACCGTGGTGGGAACAGTTGTGGGAACAGTGGGGACAGTGCGACAGTGGTGGGGGCATTGGTGGGGACAATAGGGACGGTGGTGGAACCAGTGGGGACAGTGGTGGTGAGGACAGTGGTGCTGGGAACAACAGTGGGGGATGTGATGCGAGCGGTGGTAGGGACCGGGAGTCGTTTGCTGGCGGTGCGTGGGGGGGGGGTCGAACCGGTAGTGACCCCCCTCCGGTTTTCGAGGGGGGGGGGGTTCCAACCGGTAGTGACCCCCCCCGGTTTTCCGGATCCGGAGGGGGGGGGGTGGGGGAGGGTTCGAACCGGTAGTGACCCCCCCCCGGCTTTCGAGGGGGAGGGGGGGGGGGGGGGGAGGGTTAGGGGAGGGGGGGGGGGTGCTGCGGGGAGAGGGGGGGGGGGGGGGGGGGAGGGGTTCCGGCAGGGGGGGGGATTTTCGGAGGGGGGTGGGGGGGAGACCGCCGGGCTCCGGAGGAAAAGGTTGGCAATTTTCCACAGTAAAGCGGCGGTGGATCACGCTCTCTCTTGCATTTGAAGACCTGTGGGATTAATAAGGGATAATTGCAGGACGAAGGGAAGCAGCTGGAGCAATATCAGGAGGGGAGGGAGTCGCAAGAGGACAGGGAAGATGATGGGGGTCATGCCATGCTGTTTTGGAGAAGGGCGAGGAATACGAGGTGCAGCACAGAACGAGGACGGTAATGACGAGGAGAGTGAGGGAAAACGAATGACGACGAACGAGCTGGGCGCGCGAGGCAAGAGGGGGCGCAACAGGTGGGGAACAGAAGAGAAGGAGCAGGCATGCAGCGGGCACGGGGGAGGATGGAGGCGGTTGGGGAAGGGGGAAGACCGGGTCCAGGCCGCTGGTTGGTACATCTACCAGACGCCGCCGCTCCGGAAATTGAATCCGCAGGATTCTGGCCCGCCGATGGGAACATGGCGTGACGAGACGCGACGCTATATGACGGGGCGGGGGAGACTGGGATCTTAGAGGAGGGTGACGGGAAGAGGAGGACCAGGGCGAAAACGAGGAGGAGGAGGAGGAGGAGGAGGAGGAGGAGGAGGAGGAAGCGGAAGAAGAGGAGGTGGAGGAGGAAACGGAGGAGGTGGGGGAGGACGAAGAGGAGGAGGAGGAGGAGGAGGAGGAGGAGGAGGAGGAGGAGGAGGCAGAAATCCAGGCAATTCGGGGCATAGCGCCCTCGCGCCACAGCCCGGGATGGCGCCATCAGTGTCTTCCCCCCCCCGTCCTCCCGGCGGGCGGTGGTCGGCATTTCCCTCCCTGCCCTCTGGTTCGCGCTGCGGCTCTCCCGATGGAGGTCCGATTGCGCGCCAAGCGGAGCGAAACGACGAGGAGGGAGGGGAGGAACGATGGTGGCGAGGAGCTGGGCCGCGAGGAGGGAGGGGACGAGGCGATGGGGGCGGCGGGAGGTCGGCGAGCGGGGAAGACTGCGCGGCGGGAGCGGGCCGAGGGCGAGGAGGGAGGGGAGAAGGAGGAGGAGGAGGGGGAGGAGGAGGGGGAGGAGGAGGAGGAGGGGGAGGAGGAGGGGGGGATCGCTCCACTTCCAGTCCCTTCGATTCTCGCTTCGGGGGCGGCGGTCCAGCCCAGTGCTTTGGAGGGGGGGGGGCGGGGGCGGGCCTCGTTCGTTGTCCCGGGAGGGCCGCGACATTGTCGCGTCGTGAAGTGAAGAATGGCTTTTCGGTGCGATCGAAGACCGACAGCATTTTCTATCATTTTGGACAGGATTCGTTGCCCGTGTCACCGCGGACACTGTCCATTTGAGACAGAAGGCCGCCCTCCCAATTGCAGCCGCTGTCGGTGTTGGACAACACTTGTTGTCAGGCATCGAACTCGTTTTTATCCGTGCACATTCCGGGCGTCCAACGCTCGACGGCGAGCGAGGGGGGGACACGAGCAGGAGAAGGCCTTCTCGGAAGGCGTCGCGGTTTCTCGGAAGGCATCTCGCGCTCTGAGAGGTGCTACGCGCCTCTGGGAAGGGACCAGTAAACTTTTCCGAAGGCCGGGGGGCTTCCCGAGCCTTTTGAGAAGGCCCGCCCCTTTCGGGCGAAGAGAACTATGCACATGCACCGATCCTGGCAAGGCCCATCCTTGACCCAGGATCGGTGCATATGCCTTCCTGGCCAAGGTAGGAGGGTGTATGCACCGATCCTGGGCTCAGGATGGGCCTGGCCAGAATCGGTGTATGTGCATAGTTCTTTTTCCCCTACCCTTCTCTCATTTCCACCCGAGGCTCGCCGCCGAACTTCGGGCGTCCAAAGCGCCACGCGGCCACGTTTGCCTTTCCGGGGCCTTCACTGGGACCCCGGGGGCCCTCGGTGGCAGCGGCTCGGGGTGGCATATCGGCCACGCGCAGAGGGCGGTTCTGGGGGAGGAGGAACGGCTTCTTTGAGGCACTCCTGCTCCTCAAGCCGGAGGAGGAGGAGGAGGAGGAGGAGGAGGAGGAGGAGGAGGAGGAGGAGGAGGAGGAGGAGAGGGAGGAGGAGGAGGAGGAGGAGGAGGAGGAGGAGGAGGAGGCGCGGGCCTTGCCTGTAGGTGTGAGGCCGAGCCCTTCGAAGGATCAGCCGCTTGCTAAGAGGCCTTGCCCCCCCCCCTCAATGCCCGCCCTCTGCGCGCCGCCAGTGGCAGGCTGGTCCCAGAGGAGGTCAGCCACGCGCAGAGGGGGTTGGGGGGAGGGGGGAGGGCTTCTCAGAAGCACCCCTGCTTCTTAGAAGGCGCGGGCCTTATCTATAGATGTGAGGCTGGCGCCTTCTAAGGAGCAGGGGTGTTTCTAAGAAGCCCTCCCCCCTCCCTCCACCCCCTTCTGCGCGCCGCCAAGAAGGGGCCCAGGCATCTTGTAAGCCACGAGGGGCAAGCACGCGGCGCGCTTTCCGGGGAGGAGCCGCAGCCGCGCAGGGAGGCCCAGGAGAGGGAGTGCACGTCGGTCGCTGAAGGCAGGTAATTTCTGGACTCCCGGGATCCAGTCTATTCCAAGCGTCGGGAGCCGTGAGACGGGGGTCACTGCAAACGGGGGTCAGCCAGAGCGCCCGATCTTGCAGGATCTTGCAGAGGCCAGGGTCGCACTGGCCCGGGTTTGGGTGCAGGATCCTTCAGGATTTTGCAGGATCCTTCGCATTGACCCGGGTTTGGGTGCAGGATCCTGCAGGGTCCTGCAGGATCTTGCAAGGCCCGATTGGCCCAGGTCTGGATTGACCCGGGTCAGCAGATCCCGCCTTGATGCGTGAAGAATCGGTGTGCCTCTGCCGTGTTTCATGCTGGTCTCGGGGGCGGCCTGGCCCCAGTCGGCTTGATCCGCCTTCCTGCGTCATGATGTTGTTCGCTTCTGCCGACCGACGGGTACGGTCTGACCGAGGTATAAGGTCGAGGTCGCTTCCAGGAGGGTACCCTCAAGTCGGGTCTGTACCTCTACATGAGGAGTATTCAAACATGTTTAAGAAAATAGTCATGGGACATCTCCCACATCCAATCCCCCACATCCACAGTGGGGTTCTTATTTTCTCTGGACACCCTCCGCGCAGGAACCTCCCTCCCACTCTCCGCCTCACTCACGCAGTCACCCCGTCATCGGTCATCATCACCATCGATCATCATCATCACCACCATCATCATCACACTCATTTACTCACAATCGATCACCATCATCATCGGCCATCGATCACCATCACTATCAGCATCACCACCACCACCGCCATCATCATACTCAGTCGCACATCACACACTCTCGCTCATCACTCAGCATCATGTTCCTGAGGCCTGAATATGGGGGAAGTATCAGGCGGGAGGCTCGTCTGTGAGTGAATTGCGAGGAAGTCTCATGCGGGAGCCCTCTCCCTATGTGGCCCGCACTTCATGTTTTTAATCCGAGCGGGTCGTCCTCGAACTTATGATTGTCGTCACTTTTGGGATCCTGAGGCTTGAATATGGGGGGAAGTATCAGGCGGGAGGCTCGTCTGTGAGTGAATTGCGAGGAAGTTTCAGGCCGGAGCCCTCTCCCTATGGCGCCCGCGCTTCATGTTTTTTTTCGAGCGGGTCATCCTCGAACCTGTAATTGTCGGGAGGCTCGTCTGTCAATTAATTGCGAGGATGTCTCAGGCGGGAGCCCTTTCCCTATGGGGCTCGCACTTCATGTTTTTAATCCGAGTGGGTCATACTCGAACCCGTAACTGTCGTCACTTTTGGGTTCCTGAGGCCTGAATATGGGGCAGTATCCGGCTGGAGGCTCGACTGTGAGTGAATTGCGAGGACGTCTCATGCGGGAGCCCTGTCCTTACGGGGCCCGCGTTTCATGTTTGCAATCCGAGCGGGTCAACGTCGAACATATGATTGTCGTCGCTTTTGAGCCCCTGAGGCTTGAATATCGGGGAGGTATCAGGCGGGAGGCTCGTTCGTGAGTGAATTGCGAGGAAGTCTCAGGCGGGAGCCCTCCCCCTATGGGGCTCGCATTTCATATCTTTAATTTGAGCGGGTTATCCTCGAACCTGTAACTGTCGTCGCTTTGGGGCTCCTGAGGCTTGAATATGGGGGATGTATCAGACGGGAGGCTCGTCTGTGAGTGAATTATGAGGAAAGCTCAGGCGGGAGTCCCTTCCCTATGGGGCCCGCACTGCATGTTTTCAATCCGAGCGGGTTATCCTCGAATCTGTAACTGTCGTCATCTTGGGGCTCCTGAGGCCTGAATATGGTGGAAATATGAAGCTGAAGGCTCGACTGTGAGTGAACTGTGAGGAAGTCTCAGGCGGGAGCCCCTTCCCTATGGGGCCCGCGCGACACGGAAGGTCATTTCCAGATTCGCCGAAAGGGTTTCCCTGTGGGATCTTTCCGTCGGAGTAATTGAACATGATTTGTTCTCTTCCAAATTCCGCCTGTAGGGGGACACGCCCGACCTAAGGGCACCCTACTATTTCCCACATGCTTCGTGGGGTTATGATTTTCATCCCTGCCGCGTCGCACCCGCGACCCTCACCAAACCTCCTCCTCCTTCTCTTTCTCTTTCTCACACAGCGCAGCACAATTCAGCACAGCTTAGCTCAGCATAGCACAGCACTGCACAGCACAGCACCTCAGCACAGCACAGCTCAGCACAGCACAGCACAGCACGACGGTCGTCCAGGGCACAGCAGGCGTGGGGTTTTGTCGACACCATACGGGGTGCGCAGGGGGTGGTCCCTGAGGGCGACCGCTCTGCGTGCCAGGGCCGGAAAGCGTGGCGGGCTTTGCAATTTCTCTGCGCCAGAGAAGGTGCGCGGGGGGTGGTCCTTCAGCGCGGCCTCTATGCGTGCCAGGGTCGGAAACCGTGGCGGGCTTTGCAATTTCTCTGCGCCAGAGAAGGTGCGCAGAGAATGGTCCCTCAGCGCGGCCTCTATGCGTGCCAGGGTCGGAAAGCGTTGCAGGGGTGGCACTTTCTCGACACCAGAGGGGGGGCGCAGGGGGTGGTCCTTCAGCGCGGCCTCTATGCGTGCCAGGGTCGGAAAGCGTGGCAGGGGCAGCATTTTCTCGACACCAGAGAGGGTGCGCAGGGGATGGTCCCTCAGCGCGGCCTCTATGCGTGCCAGGGTCGGAAAGCGCGGCAGTGGTTGGCACTTTCTCGACACCAGAGAGGGTGCGCAGGGGGATGGTCCCTCTGCGCGGCCTCTGTGCGTGCCAGGATCGGAAAGCGTGGCAGGGGTGGCACTTTGTCGTCACCAGAGAGGGTGCGCGGGGGGTGGTCCCTCAGCGCGGCCTCCATGCGTGCCAGGGTCGGAAAGCGTTGCAGGGGTTGGCACTTTCTCGACACCAGAGAGGTTGCGCAGGGGGATGGTCCCTCAGCGCGGCCTCTGTGCGTGCCAGGGTCGGAAAGCGTGGCAACGGTGGCACTTTCTCGATACCAGAGAGGGTGCGCAGGGGGTGATCCCTCAGCG